GGATGAAAAAAAAAAAAAAAAAAAAAAAAGGAGCTTACTCAGTGCTTGAGTTTTCCGGCGGCGATCAGGAGTGAGGAAGACTGTAGAAGGCACAACCTTTGCAGGTCCACATGTGTAGCCTGGTCCTGGACCGAGCAGGGTGAAGTTCTTTGGCAATTTCACAGTTTTGTTTGAAGTGCCGGCTAGCCCAACACTCACCTGAAAGGCGGAGACCGAACCTACTGGATCCTGTCCCCAAGATGCCAATACTCCACCCTTGCAGCAATTGGAGAATTGCTGATTGTAAGGAACACCAGGGAGCAAATCAACAACTACTGGGGTTTTCTTGCAGCAGTGAGGCACATTTCCTTTGAACTTGGAACAATCTCCTTGCTCTGTTGTCTGAGCTCCCACCATCGACCATATTACTTCTTTCTTGGCCCACGACCAGCCTAGAGTCCATCCTGGTGCATTAATATGGCGGTACATCTGAAAGTTGTTCATTGTCACTGCAGCCTGTTGCAGTTCAAACAAGATCTAAGGTCAGTATTTAAAAATAGCTTTACGCCAGCGATCCTGTTTCACAATCTTACAACATATCCATCTGCCGCCCAAGATACTATATCCCATTTGATTGTTATGTTTCCATTTGGATCCAATGGATCGTAAGCCCCTGAATAGAAAGCTGTAAAGATCAGCTACAACACGAAGAGAATGTAAGTTCTTTCTTGTTTTAGCAGTAAACAAGCACGTACCAGCTGAATAGAAAGCTGTAAAGATCAGAAGTGCTAAAACTGCAATTTTTTGCTGTTGACAGAGAATTTTGTGTAACATATTACTGTGGGTATTGACTTCCATGACTTGAATGCTTTGCAGGATGAACAAAACTCAGAGGATGGAACTATTCTTTGGGGGAAATTGAGCAATGAAGAGAGCAATATAGTTGAAGAGAATGCAAGAAGATGTGTCACCTCTCACCTACTGGTTGTTAGATAGATAATCCATGTGATATTTTTCAGCTACTTCTCTTAAATCCTTCATTTATCCTTTTCAGTATTTCTGCATCTTGAAGCAAAGCCATAGAGATCTGGACATGACTTTTCAACTGTCAGCGTTCTTACACCAGAGCCTAGCAGATGTGCAGAACCCAGGAAATCAAGCTTTCTTCCCATTCAACTGCACTGAACCAGTAAGTCTCAGTTTAAATTATAAATTTTTTTGTTTGTCAACGATCTAATAAACACACAACTGAAAGTTTAGTGAGTCGCTTGAATGTTCTTCAAATTCTTTGGAAATGGCTCAATCAAGCCAAAAATTTCTTCACTCTCCTTCAGGATCATCTAAAGGAGATATCTTATCCACCATTTCTATGACAAAAAACTTAATTTATTATCCACTTCTAATGTTTTTAACTAGTAGTTATGCTATCCTGATATTGACAATGATCTAACAGCTTTCTTTTATTTATGTTTTTTTTTCCCTAAACAATATTAAACAGCTATTTAATTTAGTTCCTTATTATTGTTAAAACCAAATTAAACCTATTGAGAGTGAGAGATTGCAACAACTATAATGCTTTTCCTTCATCTTTTTTTTCCCCCTTTTTCTTCATTTTTTTTATATTAATTATAACAAAATCATTCCGACTTCAAAAATAATTCTTTCATCAAATTTCGGGTGGATTTGAAAGATTATTTTCGAAGTAATTTTTTGTTATTGTTTTCAACATTATTTTTCGAGTCGATCAGTTGGGTCGTTCAAGTCATATGAAATGATTATCTTTCCTTAGTAGAATGTCAAGGCAGGAATGAGTAGATATAGTTTTAAGAATTTGATAGTTAATAAATGCTTAATAAAAATTAATAATTAATAAATTATAAGAATAAGAAGCTGTCTCCTAACAAAACGCCTCTATATTAACGCACGTGCCACCTGCCGTCTGGCATATTCGAATGTTTTTCCCTTCAAATTCTTCACCCGCTTCGTTTACTTCCGTCTGAAAATCAAAATTCTGTCTCCCTCTAGTCTGTCTCTCTGTTTCTTGTTTTTTCTTCTACAGTGAAGCGTCAGCAATGGCGAACACCAAGCTGGGACCGGTTCTGAAAGATGAGCTCGACATAGTCATCCCCACCATCCGCAACCTCGACTTCCTCGAGATGTGGAGACCATTTTTCCAGCCCTATCACTTGATCATTGTCCAAGACGGCGACCCGTCCAAGACTATCAGGGTTCCTGATGGCTTTGACTATGAGCTCTACAATCGTATGGATATTGATCGGATTCTGGGCCCTAAGGCCTCGTGCATTTCATTTAAGGACTCTGCTTGTAGGTGCTTTGGCTACTTGATTTCCAAGAAGAAGTACATCTTCACGATTGATGATGACTGCTTCGTATGTTCAATCCCCAATTTTCTTTTACACTTTTGATCCTTCCTTTCTCTGATTAATGAACTTTGTGGGTTAATATGTTCTAATGCAGGTTGCTAAAGACCCATCTGGTAAAGAGATTAATGCACTTGAACAGCACATTAAGAACGTGTTGACGCCATCGACCCCATTTTTCTTTAACACCCTTTATGATCCATTTAGAGAAGGTGCTGATTTTGTCCGTGGATATCCATTCACTCTCCGTGAAGGTGTCCCCACAGCGGTGTCTCATGGCCTCTGGCTAAACATTCCAGATTATGATGCACCCACCCAACTCGTCAAACCACTCGAGAGAAACACAAGGTACTTGGTAACATCTCAAGCCTATGAGAGCACATATTGTATTCTATTCCGAGCTTTCTTTCAAGATTTTTAAAACGTGTTTGTTGGGAAAGGTTTCCACACCCTTGTAAAGAATGTTTTGTAACCCTCTCCTACTGATATGGGATCTTATAATCCACCCATATTTAGGGCCAACGTCCTTGCGTACACTCATTCCTCTTTCGTTCCCCTCTCCAACCGAGGTGAGATCTCACAATCCACTCCATTCGGGCCCAGCTTCTGTGCTAGTACTTATTCCTCTCTCTCCAATCGATGTAGGATCTCACAATCCAACCCCCTTCGAGGCCAGCGTTCTCACTGGCACACCGTCCAATATCTGACTCTGATACCATTTGTAACAGCTCAAGCCTACCGTCAGCAGATATTGTCTATTTAGACTTTTTCTTTCAGATTTCCCCTCAAAGTTTTTAAAATGTGTATGCTAGGAGAAGGTCTTCATGCCCTTATGGAGAATGTTTTGTTCCTTTCTCCAACCGATGTGAGATCTCACAATCTACCCTTCGCTTGCCAAACATCGGTAGAGATTTGGATTTCATGATGTTTGCTTCTGAAAATCTAATGTTTTGACGGTATGATGTTCACATCACAGGTACGTCAATGCGGTTCTGACGGTACCAAAGGGCACTCTCTTCCCCATGTGTGGAATGAATCTAGCATTCAACCGTGAACTAATTGGTCCCGCCATGTACTTTGGACTCATGGGAAATGGCCAACCCATCGGTCGCTATGACGATATGTGGGCTGGCTGGTGTATGAAGGTATACACAATTTAACCATTTCTTCAGTAGTACAATGTTCAATTCAAACCAAATGGTCGACATTTTTGTAGGTTATCTGTGACCACTTGGGATTTGGAGTGAAGACGGGATTGCCATATATCTGGCACAGCAAGGCAAGCAACCCATTTACAAACCTGAAGAAGGAATACAAAGGAATCTATTGGCAAGAACAGATCATACCCTTTTTCCAAACTGTTACCCTACCAAAGCATTGCGACACTGTGCAGAAGTGCTATATTGAACTCTCCAAGCTGGTCAGGGAAAACCTCAGTTCAGTCGATGAGTATTTTGTGAAGCTTGCCGATGCCATGCTCACTTGGATTGAAGCTTGGAATGAGCTGAATCCATAAGGTTGTTTCAGAATAGTTTACTCATTGTTTTTTACTTCTGGTTAAAGATTTGATGTTTATTACACTAAATGGTTAATTACTCACTATTTAAGATTTCTTTCGAATGAAAATTTGACTCATGCTGCCTTGCTTATCTCTCTCTCTCTCTTATCCTAAACATTTTTTTGTTTTTCCTTTTTGACTTCTATATATATATATACATATATCTGCGTTTAAATGGAGATTTTTTACTAAAATATATGAACACGAACATTTTAGTACGTCTAATGTCACAACTTCACTAAGAGAAAGTAGGGTGTGACCTCCACACATTAAGACAGACAAGGGACGACCCTCGAGTGGCGTCCATCTGGCCACGTTTAGGCCAAGATTGAAAAGTGTCAAAATACGGTTGAGGAGAACGGTACATCATCCGACACATCAAGAGTGTGTATTGAAAATAAGTTGGGGCATATATAAAGTTCGAGAGAACGAGGCGACATGAGTGTCAAAGACAAGCTCGAAGAGATTGGGTAGGGCCTCAAGTCATAACCTCAGAAGTTGGAGTTTCGATATGAGTTTTAGCATGCGGCTTGAGAATTAAGTTCGTTTATATGAAAGATGAAAGCTCACCAAATTTGGTGTTAATTGAATACTCGACGGACTATACACGAGATCGTATGTCTGCTTGCCAAAAAAATGTATACTCGAGAAGGATTGGAAATGCCTCAAAGTGTATGATAGGCATAGTGTTGGCTCTCCACCACCTTTTGGCTCTTTGGCCTAAGCGAGCTACCCTGTGACACATGCTTGTGTTACAGTGTGCGCAAGCGTCATGGGACAAGCGGTCTCATACGTCTTCCTTTGAAAAGGGTCTTTCAAGGACAGTACCGAGCGGCACGGGTATGCCGATATTGTGCCACAGTCGATGTGTTGAAATAAGACAGCATCACATTGCATGAGTCGTGTTGTTGGGAATCGAGATGACAGTGAGATGCGACGTTATGTCGCAACGATTGAACATGCACGCACGAACAACGTGTATGACCGAACAAGCTTGGACTCCGCACAAGCGATGTTCAGTTGGCGAAGACAAACCTCGTCGACGGTCCAACGAAGCCACGAAGCTAAACAAAAAATGAACATGGAGCTTGAGTTTCTCTTAAGGCTTGTCGTGAGCATGTCAAGATCACGACGCCACACCAACCATGGCTGAGCTAAAAAAGCATAGTAAAGTGGTAACATAAACTCCTCGGCCAATAAACATTTCAGGATCCAATCTTGTATTGGTACGATATTATCTACTCTACCAAAAGATTTCCTACCGGTAAAGACCCTGTCTACACTAACATACCTGAACACGACTATGTTCACAGCTCCACCATTATTCGAGAGCTATAACGAGCCTCGGGCGTTATCACTCCAACTTCCACTAATTTGTTGAAATAGAAACCATTATCTTTTGAAAAAAAAAAAAAAAAAAAAATCATCAGAAGGTACTACATCAAACAAGAAATCCCAGATCTGAAAGCTACATATAAAAGTTTACAAGTCAATAATAGAATACTTCAAGAATGGTCCAAGAATTGCACCAACATATCAATGTTAGTTCTTATAAGAAAGGAACAAATCATGCTACTTTATTTTGAACTTCTCCTCAGCCTACCAACAGCACTCCCAGCAGCAGTGCATCAAAATCCACTGCATTCTTCACACTCAGCACACGCTTTGTCCTGTCCTGTCGCCTTTTCCGATACGAATCAGTTGTCAAAACCGTCCGAGTCGATGCTGCTCAAGGATCTGAATATATGCCATCATTTACGACATAACAGAATTATCAGAGTTGCAATAACACATTGTTCATTCACAGTTCATATTGTTTAAGTGTAGAAAGGAAAAGGAAAAGTATGGTCGTTCAGCTTCCCGAGCATTGGGCTTCGCCTAGCAAACACGACAAGTCCAGACTTCGAAGATGCATTCCATGCATCATTTAGTACGATGGAATCGACGTTACACAAAATGACCGTATACTCACTAACCCTCTCTAAGAAACTTGAAAATTAATACACCAAAGACGACCGATATCGTGGCTGAAAGATGCTGTAAGGGTTATCAGTATCTCTTCTAGTGAAGGTAATGTCGTCACCAACCCTAAGAGACATTGTGAGATTTCACATCGGTTGGGGAGGAGAACGAAACATTCTTTACAAGGATGTGGAAACCTCTCCCTAGAAGACGCGTTTCAAAAACCTTGAGAGGAAACCCGAAAAGGAAAACCCAAAGAGAACAACATCTGCTAGCGGTGGACTTAAACTGTTACAAATGGTATTAGAGTCCGACACCAGTCAATGTGCCAACGAGGAGGCTGAGCCCCGAAGAGAGGTGGACACGAGGCGGTGTGCTAGCAAGGACGCTAGGCCCTGAAGGGGGTGGATTGGGGGGTCTTATATAGATTGGAGAAGGAAACGATGTACTCGAGCGGGTTAAGAAGCAAATTTAAACAGCTAAAACCAAATGCTTCCCAAAAGCCATCACAATTCAAGTACATATTTCAGGAATATAGTAAATCAGTGACAAGAAACACATTTTTAGGTACCTGTTATTCATAAAATTTAAGTAATCCGGAGGCAGCAGAAAGCATTACTTTCTTGCTTCACCTGCATAGCTTGCCTCTGGTGCTCAACACGATGGAGTTGTGATGAAAGCTGCAACAAATCAATGGTCGGGCCACCTTCACACGGATCTGCCAAATTCGATTCATGGAAAATCCGATTCGTAATTTCTAAGTTCACTGCATCACTTGTTTCAGGTGTCGATATGGGACCAAGAGTACAACCTTCCGAAGCATTCAACCCCGACGAATCAAATTTATTCGACACGCCATTCACAGAAACGTGGGAGCTTACTCCCATGAGCTTTTCAGAAAGTTGACTCATACTGTAATGATTTTGGCCATCAAGCAAGACCATAGGACGACCAATGGGAATCCCTGATGAATGAGTTGAGGAGTTTTGTGTTTGAGATGACAGAAGAGAGAGAGCACAACCGGAGTCTGATAATCCTGATAGTCGATCGGTTGATGCTGCACTATAAACGCTGAAGTATTCACTGCCTAACGAGGGGTTGTGAAAGTATGAACGAGAACTCGAATTCACGCCTCCTACACTAAGAGGATATTGATTACTGTTCTCCTTGAACATATTTGTGGCGCTTGGATTCGGTTCGTTGTCATGGAAAGGGGGAACTTGGGTATCGATATCGTACGGAGAGAAGAGAGATTTCGAATGCAAATGGGCACTAGGTGCATGAACAGCAGACAAAGGCATATATTCATTCTTGTCTTCAATTTTCACAGTTCTACACCAATCACTTGCTCCATATTTCTCTGTATTCAAAATACCATTTGGTAATATCCCTTGGCAGATGAAGGATGTTGCTGTTAATGCCGTTCCTTGAAGCCTGCTACCTGTAGAGTTTACAAAATTGATGACTGAAACACAAACTAAAACAAAAATCGTGAATTCGAAAGCTGTATATCGATGCCGTACGTAAGTTTGTGAACATGAAACAAATTTAGTACCATTATATGACTGGAGAAACCTTCCAGCCCTGCCAGAATTGATAGCCACCTGAGGCTTTCTCCGACGTTCGTTATGACCTGCAAGGCGTTTACGACAGCTGCGCTTACCATCATCAAACTCAGCTAGCAAATGAAACCTGGAAGTCAAAAGCAAGACCATATTAGAGCAGCAATAATACTAATGATTTGCTCTGTCGATGGAGCTTCGGGGCAGCACGAGTATACAGTTAATGACGATGTTAATCAGCATTAATATCATTTTTTCGTGAATCCATGTGGATCTCCAGTGTGAACGATCTAAACGTACATTTAAAAGATCAACCAAAACTAATATGAGTGATGAAAATTAACGAACCTGCTACATTGCTGACAAAACCTTTGTTCTATACCATTCACAATAACTTTTGCAGTCTTTGAGTGAACTTCACAAACTTTATGCCTCTTGTGGTAGTCTTTAGAGGAGCTAAGATCCTTGTTACACCCATAAACCTGGCAGAAATAAGTTTGAGAATTCAACCCGGAAGCTCGAACTCGTTTCGAAGGCATCGATGACTCAGATGATGCCAAAATGGGGGCTCCCTTAAAGAATTTGTAGCCATGAGCCTCCCTATGGTCAGCAAATCTCCCTAGCTTTAAATCAATGAATGAAGAATCTCGGCTGGTTGAGTCCACAACAGAGCCAGAGAGCTTTGATGTGGATTCATCCTCCCCCAGATATGCATTGGATGGATTTAGATATCTTCCACCAACGACCTTGCTACTCAAAATGTCACAAACTGAATTGTCTGCTAATTGTTTCCCTATCATTTCAGGGAATATGAATTCCCCAAATCCTTGATTATCAACATGTTGACCTGTTGGTAACATGGTGCTACCAAAGTTGCAGGGGTGTTTGAATTCCCAACCCAACAAAGAATCTTTGTTCCTTGCAAGAGAACTTGTAGGCGAATTCAGTTCATCAGACATACATCCCTTTCCTTCAGAAACATAGCTCCAAGACTCCATTACAGCAACCAAATTACCCAAAATCACCCAAACTTGTTGTCTTCGCTAGTTAAACATGGAAGATCTTTCATAATCACTGTTCAAAACCTCAAAAACCCCACATGAACACAAGGAGAAGGAAACCCATATGTCGTTTCCAGCTCCCCAACACAACATCATGGCAAAAAAGGCAAATGGGTTTGTGGGGAAAAGGAAGAATACATCAAAGAGAAACTCAGCTCAGAACAAAATCAACCCCAAAACTGTGAACCCTATGAGAATCATCAAAACGAAAAAGAAGAAATCAAGAACAGAAAAAGGAAGAATAAGGTGAATGCAAAGAAAGCCCCAGAGAAAATACAGAGAAGAGAGGGAAAAGCAGAGAGACCCAAGTAGTGAAAAGGCATGGGGGAGGTATAAGAAGAGAAACAATAAAGGTTACTGAAAATTTGGGGTTTACTTTACCTGTGCACTGTTGATAAGAGGTATTATGATAAAGGGCTGAAATGGGGTTTACTTAATGTCGAAGATATTTATGGTGTGTGCTACACAAACTCCATGGAAGAAGGGGGTTGTGGCTGCCATTTCTG